ATAAAATGTATGTTTTATAATATATATGTAAAAAATGTATAAATGTGTATAGATACGTATACAAAAAATATATTCCATCCTACTAAATGAAAAAATGAAAGGAAAATGGAAAACCTTCTGATTACTATTCTTAAATATCATAGAATCATCGAATCTCAGAATGGATTGGGTTAGAAGGGACCTTAAAGCTTATTCATTTCCAACCCCATGTCATGGGCAGGGACACCTTCCACTAGAGCAGGTTGCTCAAAGCCATGTTCAAACCTGCCTTTTCATAATTTAAATAGAATATCAAAATCTGTTTTCCATGTAAGCAGAGCAATGTGCATGAACATTACTCTTGAAGTATATCTTCAATAAAAGATTTTTACAATTGATTGTCTTTTCTTCCTCAGAGCTTAAATACTGTAACAAACCTGGGAGTATTTAAGCACCAGTGTCCAATAAAGTCTGGACCAGCATCAAAGAACCACACATCACTAAGAAGTACTGCCAAAAAATTGTGAATGCTCGGTCAGCAGTTACAAACTATATACTAACCCTAATCAGTGTCTTTCAAACTCTTCTTGTCAGCCACTACTTTGTATATTCACTTTATATATTCAGAACATTGCATATTTGAGTGCTGAGTCAATACGTAACAAACTATTGTGAGATAGTTTGCTTATTTAACAAAAATACATTGTTCAGATTGTATTACAGTGTATTTTTAATTAGAAAAAGAAATAAAAATTTAATATCTTCAATAAAGTGAATAAAGCACCACCTTGAAGAGTCAAATAAAACTTAACTGTGTTTAAAATAAAAGATGTCACTACTGAAAGCTTATCTTTAGAGAGGCAAAAAGCATTCTTTCTACATTAAGTTGCTACCTGCCACCATTTCAGGTTTTTGCCTTCCCTGAATTCCCTAGTTTGCCCAAATATTAATAAGAAAAATTCTTACTTGGACAATGAATTCAACTGCTCTTGAAGGAGGTTTTTAATATTTTCATTCTCTGGATAATCACTGGATAAAAAAAATCAAAAAAAGAAGTAAAAAGGTTTATATATATATATATATACATATTTATATGCACACACACTTGTTCTGCTTTCTCTCAGCTTCAGTCACCAATATTTCATTTCCCACTTTTATTCATGAACCTTGAATTTAATGAAAATGCCAATGCCAAGCGTGTTGATATGCGACCATCAACAGTACACAAACACAATCAAGGATACAAAAAGGTGCTCCAAGTATCATGCGAAGCACAGCTGCCTAAAAGTAAAGCCAGGCCTACCGGGCTATCAGTCAGACCGACACTTCCAATTACACTTTAGGAACCACCTCTGACTATTCTTACATTAACTTCTTGAACAAAGAGAACACACAGTTGTTCTCTGAAGTAATATAACCTGTAACAGACACAAAACTCTTGCCAGTACCTTAGAGAGCAATTTTCAGTTGCCAAGTTCTACTGAAAGTCAAAATAAATAAAATACTTGACCTTAAAGCTGTTTCTTTTAATTATTCTTAGTAACAAATAGTGAAGCTATTATTTTCTTGACTGTCCCAAAGAGTGAGGAAACATATATCTAACAGTTATTTGCACAGAAAGACTAACAAAAGATGCAGGATTAGAAACAAAAGTAGTATTTTACATATAGATACATATTTCTTCTTACGTGTTTATAATATCTAGAGAGTATTTCTCATTCCATGGCTGATGCAACAAGAATGCTTTTAAAGCTAATGAAGCCCTTGGAACAAGCAGATAGGGGCACCATGCAGGTTCTGAAACAAAAGAAAAAGATTCATTGTTGAGTGGCTAATGTGCAATAACACTGTGTTCAGTAACCATAAAATGTACCACCTTGTTTTCAAGCACCAGAAGAAAATCATAAATCACAGTCTTTTCATATACACTGCATGGCTTACTAGACATAAAAGATTATCTTTATGCACAAGCAAAAACATTCCCTTGAAGGTAGAGGGTTATCAACCATACTCAAATGAGAGTTTCAGGACATTCCATATTAAGCTTAGCCATAGACTCCTGGAACACATTAAGTAGAGCTGTACAATGATTATTTCTACTACAAGGACATGCTGGAAAATAAGTACAGCTATACCAAAATCTGCCACAATGCATGTTCTAGTTTTACTTTGCAATTGTAGTTTCTATAGCGTAATACAAGGATTAATACTCACCATTTAATAAGGATGGTGTGAAGTTTAATACGTTTGTATTAGCAAAGAAATAAGATGAAAATTATAGCACTAACTGTTGTCATACAACTTTAAGTCAGTAAGTCTGTATTCAGTACAAGGTTTGGGTGATAAGCACAGTAAACAGTACCCAGTAACTCAGGAGTAAAACGTGTATCAACCAGCTACATTACTAAATATTCAGCAATTCCCTGTACTTCATATGCACTGAATGATGTAGGAATCTTTTCATTGTGATTTTGTAATTAGAAGATTATCACAGTGTAGAGGCAGAAGGACAGCTAAATCACAGGCAACCTTAACCCCGGCATAACCCAATTTCTGTGTGCTTGGGTTTAGAACATTCATTTTTATAGCTTAATATTAAAGAACATCCATTTGATAGTAAAAATAGCTGTGTGTTTCCTCAAACATCCCAGACCACAGCCCCCCACATTGCAATTTTATTACATATGTCTTTATTACATGTGTCTGATGTTTTAGGGAAATTGTATGAGTGAAGGCAGGAATGACCAAAAAGACTAAAATAAAAGCAGTTATTTGGAACATCAGTAATAAAATAAGTAGCTTAACTAACAATTTATATTGTTCAATATTTAAATTCCCTTCATAAATGTATGTCCAAAAAAGTCAAACAGCACCAATATTGCTATTTTAGAGTTCAGAGGGAAAATCTACTTTGAAAAGCAATGGATCAGTCTACAAACTGCCTTTGATCTCTGGGAATATCCGAAAAGACATTTTCACACATTAAGAAATCTTTCAAAATCATGTGACGAATTTAAGCACTGTAGGTACTGATACCCAATTGATGTACCCATGATTTCTAGGTCAACTGGCTAGAAATCTGTACAAAAAGCTCTTATTGTGTCATCTTATATTGCAATTAAGATATTAAAAAGCATATTTTATAAGCTATATCTTATAGCTTATTGCAGGGGGGTTGGACGAGGTGACCTCTGAAGGTCCCTTCCAACCCAAACTATTCTATGATTCTATAGTTTATTCAGGAGATTAAACTTGTATGAAAAACACACCCATACGACCTAATCCTAAAAAATTTATCTGCATCTATAAAAAACCACTATGGGGACACCTAATCCTCTACATGTGACAATTGTCAATTCAAATAGAAGTGGTGAACATTTTTATGGTCCACTTTCAAAATGAAGTATCTAGCAGTCAACAGCCAGAAAGAAATCAACATACCTATTAAGTCCTGTTCATCCATTCTAAAACATGACGGTTTCATGGACAAGTCTAGAACTCGAATGCACCCATCATCTGATGCCAAGACCACTTTGTCTGAAGTGCACCAGTCCACATCCAGGATGCGGAAATTGACGTTCCTTCCACTCCTTAAACTGCTCACCATTTGTACCTTGAAAAGTTATTTTTCATTTTAAGTAGGCTTTCCATCACGCAGTGTCACATGCCCATGAGGCACACCACAGGATTTGCAGTAAAAGGTGAAGTTAGTCATAAATCATTTTAATGATGATCTTTTCTGGAGAGTAGGGAAATTCAGACACCTTAGAGTAGGGCACTTGGTTGCCCTGAAACAACACTTTTTCCCACCTGAGAGCCGAGAAAAGATCCTTTTGAGCACAGCTCTACAGCTGCCTTTTGTGCTATCAATCGTGTTTTGTCTGACATAACATTTCCATGATAAACTGGTTAAACTTTTTCATTCCAGTCCCTGATCTAGCAAGCATGCATCAAGGCAAAAGTGAGCATCTCATTAATTAAATCATGCTCTTCATAAACATATACTTTCTTGATAAATAATGAGCTTGTCTAGAAATACATTTTGACATACTAGTAACATAACATTATGGCAATAGGATGATTTATTGTCCACAAACAAACCAGAGAAGCAAAATGTTCCAAACTGCACTTTTAACCACAGGTCAGTAGTTGGACATTTTGTAACCCCTCTGTAGCATCACCAAACATTGTAATCGTCAATATAAGGAAATACTAACGAAGCCTCTGCTGTAATCAATATTCTGCTGTTTTGTTTCACTTGCTCTAGAGCAAAGCATGGAGTTAGAGAGATGAAAAGTACAACAGCACTAGAGCATGATTACTCTTAGTGGTGAGAGAATTAAGAGAAAAATGTGGAAATACTGGATAACTGGTTGTAGGCAAAGGTAAAGTTCTTAGGAGAGGATGACATGGAAAATAGGAGTGTAAAAAATTTCTATGGACATTCTGAAAGATTTCTGGCTGAAAATACTATTTAACTTTAAATGCTTTCATGTACGAAATTCTTTCCCTTGTCCTAGAAAAAGAGAGGGAACAGCTACAGGAGGAGTATCCTATGCTATCAAAACTATTCAAATGTGCTTCATAGGGTTATATTCCACTCTGCCTGCATAATTCACACTTGTTGGTAGTATCTGCTGTCCAATTCTGATCATCAGAGAGAGTTTACATTGCTCACATTAAGTGTCTAAGTGTCGGAGCTGGTGCTCATTCCAAAGTGAACAGAAAAAAAACATATTCCCATTTCATACCCTCATGCCCTGAACTTACTCTGGGGGGGTAAGTTAAACCAATACAATTATCTTTCCTGCCCCATGGTACTAGAATCCCTCAAAAAACCTAAGAAGCAAACCCCAGCAGATATGTGAACATTACTTCAGAATGAGGAAGATAAGCTAGGCAATGTTAAGTAACAAGTTGCTTTCTGGTATTCCTTAACAAATTAAATCCATGCAATGTCAAACACATACTCTTGACTATGCACAGAAGTTAAGAAACCTGCAGTAAAAATACTCTTGTCCATAGATTCAATTCTAATATTGAGGATTCCCCTTAAATTTTCAATGTCTACCTCAAAAACATTAGAAAATAATGACAGAAAGTATCTCAGAGACAATGCCAGCTTTATGAGTGAAAGGAACTTTTCATTGATGACAGCTTAAAAATGCTTTACAGGAACTAAAAGCCATAGAAATTTACCACACAATTGTCAGCAAGAAATCATGACTACTTAAAACTTAATCCCTGACTTCTCTTTGTCCTGAAGTAGTATGTGTATATTGCAAAGAGGCCCATATCGAAACAACAGACACCTACCTCTTTTGAATCCCAAATTTCTGCTCCATCGTTGTACATTGCAAGAAGTTTTTGATTTCCTTTCCCTGGGGCAAAACGTATCTTTTTAACCCAGCTTCGGTGTGTAGGAATTCCCCTAAGAAAAGCCCAAGAGTTAGTATCAATCATTCTATACCTAATATTGCAGGTAGTTAAATCTTTCCCATGAATGTTGCAGATCCTGATATTGTACAGATAGAGAAGGAGAAACATCTATCTATCTATCTATCTATCTATCTATCTATCTATCATTTACCTGTATATATATACACAGGCACAAATGGCTATCCAAATTATGAAAACTAAAAGGATTAAATGCTTTAAATAAATACTACAATACTCAATGTTTTATCAGAAGCCATTGCAGATTTAACATAAAATATCTATCTAGCTCTTTTAAAAATTCTGATAAAATGCTACTCCAATTGAAAACACAAAGGATGACATGCAGAAAACTGTATCACAGTAGGCATTTTCTGAAACTGTATTTCAGAATACTTGCAATTTTCCCCTCAAACTCCACAGATGACCACCTACAGTGAAGTCAAAAATGAAGGTGGGGAGAAACATTCTAAGACTCATTATCTCATGTTTGTCAGACTGAATTTGCATTCATACCTGGATACTCTAGCTTTCAAATCCCAGAAGTTTAAGTTTCCATCAACATCTCCAAGAACCAGGGTATCTCCTTTCCAGGCAATACATGTAATGCTACCCATACTTCCCTGAAAATATTTAAGCAGCAGAACAACATCTTGTGATTAATAGAACCAAACATAGGAACAAACATTTCCTTTTCTTTTTTTTTTTTTTAATATTTTTTGACATGATAGACCAAATTCTGTTCAGTTAAAACAGGAACAATTCCATCAAATATAAGCAGTTATCAAGTCAGTCATATTTGCTTCAAAAGACATTTCCTTTTAAGAAATTTTGTGTTTAAAGAAATGGAAATGACTTCTCTGTCTCCTGTTGCAAGGAAACACCAAAATGACAGACCTCATTAATCACAATTCTAGCATATAGTAAAATAGGAAACAAAAGAATTCCTATTTGTAAGTTCAACTGATCAAAACCTTCAAAAACAACTGAAAAAAGAAAGACTATTCTTCAGAACAACTGGGGAAAAAAGAACAACTTAAAATTCACAAAAGAATGCTCTGACCCACTCAAGTCATATTTTAGTAACATCCTCTTTGTTATTCAAGCTTTTTGTATATGCTTTACTAAAATCCTTAAAAATACGTCATTTATTCAGGAAGCAAGTCAGGGTCTAAGAAGATTCTAAAGTCTAAAAACAGCCATTGATTTCAACAGCGTTTTCAATAGAAGAACAGTAAGACTGTGAAAACAGAATTGATATGGCTTTTGAAATTGGAGTTTTAATTACATATTCCAAACTACTGCATTAATGTTAATTTGCCACTACAAGGCATATTCCTGATGTTTTTTCTGGCAACCACAGCTAAGAAAAAAAATTAAAGCATCAGCAATATAGAAGATCAGAACTCACATCAGGAGGAATTCTTGCGCTGTCTTTTACTGAGTTTCCTTCTACTGTGAGATGATAAACCTGCCCATCAGCACCTGTAAACACGAAGTGCTCTCTGGCAGAAATGTTCTGGCTCAGCTCTGATTTACTTTCGGCTTCCTGTAACAAGCTTTAAAGAGAACACAATGAGACACAAGTATTTCTTCCTTGACATTAGAATTGCAAGGCAAATTCTCCGCAACTAATGCACAGAGGCAGCACAAAATGAATGTATGCTTCAAAACAATCCAGGAGCAACAGCTAACTCATACTCTTGTGGAAACTTTCATGGGCAACTTTTCATGGTTTTACTTCAAGCACCAGGTAACTTATAGACTGTGACACCTGAGAAACAGGTACACTATTTCTCTCATCCAGCAGGGTATCAGAGTCCCACATCTAAAAACTAAAGGGAGGCCCATAAAGTTGCTTTGTCTGGTATGTACTTGAGAATTTTGTTCTGTAGAACAATGGCACATGGTAGAAAAACAACAACTGATGCAAAATAACACATTAGAATGAAAAATACCTGATCACAGAAGATTCTACACTGCTAACTTCAGTATCTGATGCAACTGTCTGCCGGGCCATGGCCTCACGAGCTGCTAACTGCTTCTTCCTCAGGCTTTTTAAGTTGTGAGAAGGTGACCACTCCTGTGAAAAATAGAATGGGAAAGACAAAAGTTTACTCCCTGAATTTACTGGGGATTTTTCGGCTAATATTAATGATTTCAATGAAGACTGTCTTCCTATAATACCTTCCTCCATCATATAAGGGGGCCTACAAGGATGCTGGGGAGGGACTCTTCATTAGGGACTGCAGTGGTAGGACAAGGGGTAATGGCATTAAACTTAAACAGGGGAGGTTTAGATTGGATATAAGGAAGAAGTTCTTTGCAGTGAGGGTGGTGAGGCACTGGAATAGGTTGCCCAGGGAAGCTGTGAATGCTCCAACCCTGGAGGTGTTCAAGGCCAGGCTGGACAGAGCCTTGGGCAACATAGTTTAGTGTGTGGTGTCCCTGCTCATGGCAGGGGGGTTGGAACTAGATGATCTTAAGGTCCTTTCCAACCCTAACTATTCTATGATTTTCTATAAACCAGCAGACCCAATTTTTCCACTAGAACCTGCTTTTTTCTTCCCTCTTATTTGATGACAGATGAAAATGGAAGGGTGAAAGCACTTATCTGTATGCTACAGACTGCAGCAAAACGTTACTCTAAGTTGTTCATAGGTTTTTATACTATCTCAACATATTACATTTAATAAACAGCAAGTAACAGATTATATTTCTTACCAAAGCGGTTGCTATAGGGAAGTTTTTAGACATTTCTCTGAGCAGAGTGCATGTTCTGACATCCCAGATCTCCAGAGGTTTGTCTTTAAATACTACAGCTAGATACTGCCTAAAATGGGTAAGAATTTATTACATCAAAATTAATGATTTTACTTCACACATGTTGTTCATATGGTCACTCTGGAAACCCTCAAAAACTAAGGAAACAGAGTAAATTAATTTGGCTGAAATTCCACTCTGAAGGTTGTCATTTCATTGTGTTGCTGAGGTTCAAAAGAGTGTCTGAAGAAGAGTCCTCTTTAAAAAGGAAAGAATTAGAAATTTCTGGCATGTGGTGCTGCTCTATTACTGTAAAGGAGATCAGGGAATTAATTCAGAGAAAACAGCAGCACCTCTAATTTAGCCATAGTCAGATGAGTTGATGACTGCACAAGATACCAGAAAGGACGCACTAAGACTGTAGGTTGGACAGATTTTTTCTCTGATCCAGACACATGCTACTTCCCTAATCCAGTGATAAGTGAACATAAAATCCTCTTGCACTAAACCACTTGACAGTTATGTCTTCAGACCTTTCATCTGTGGAGCTACATGAGTACACCACTTTCAGTCTACCACTTTTCACACTTAACTTGAGAATACAGAGAGGCTCTGCAGCTGTATGTGCTCTTCACAACTGAATTAGCCTCTATTGAAATGAACTACCCTTTCTTGTTCTCACTTAACATTCTAGTCTCTTCATCTAAGCCCACCACAGTTCTTAATTTTTAATGTATTAATAAGACCATTATATGGTCGAACTCCTCCAGTTCTCTTTCACATATATATTACCAAAAATATTCCTATGCAAGCTTAGAGAACACCCACTTTAAAACTTTAGAGACAGTGCCTTATTAAAGTTGACACTCTTAATTTCATTAACACAGGAAAGCAATCTCACAGAGTACTACTGTTATTATTTTTGATACTATAAAAACCAGGGCTTCCTGTCAGAGGCCTGATCTCAAAATAAGCAGGATTTGGTGGTAAGCAGTATGGTTGTTTATCAGCTGACTTATCAAAAAACAGTATCTCACATCTGGTTTCCCAATAGACAATTGTTATGAAGGTGTGAAATACGTACTTAGAAAAATTAATGAATATAAGAAAAATCATCCTACCCTTAATGCCAATCTTCTAGTTTTAAGTATGGCTTAAGTTATGGCAAAAGGGAATTAAGTCGGAACAACCACAGTCGACAGAAACGGCTCAGCACTTTTATTCTCCCTAATATTAACAAAAGGTCTGTTCAGTGAACCTAATTCTTAAAAAACCTAAAAAATATTAATGACTGATCTTGCAGTGTGTTTGGGTCATGAAGTGAGAAAGTCTATCACGTGAACATTCACAGCTTTTGCACTTTGAACTAATATTCTAAATAATTTTTCTCTTTATGCTTTGCACGTTTTTCTGTACTACAGAAAATTCCTACAGAATTTTTTTCCAGTTGTTTCCTGGAATTTCTATTATTTCTATTCGGTCATGAAATCTTCATGCAGTAAAGTAAAATCTATAAACTTCACAAGGATAATGTACTTACTTCAAATGAGACACCTTTATCATTTCAATAGCTGGCTCATCATTACCTCGCTCCCCACGAAATGCAATGCTCCTGCCTGGAACACAAAAATAACATGGGAGAAATGGTTACTAAACTAAATATGGTTTATTAACTATCCTGTTTGTAAACAGAAATAGCTTACACACTAAACAAGAATATCTCCAAGTAACCTGCTATATATTACTTTTGTCATTGTTGAACTTTTACTGCATTTTAAACGACCAAATAGAATGTAAACTCTAATATAATACCTGTCTCGCTTCCAGAGCAGTGAAATTGATGCATCATCAGCATTACATAAAGAGATACATATTCCCCAAGGAGGAAAACCATGCGTAGATTTGAAATTTTGTAAGAGAAATTGAGTCTGCCATAAACCAAGCCTGAAAGTATTTCCATGGTGAAGTACTCATTCTACACTTAGCAGAACCATTCTCTTTTTCCACCTAAAAGAATAAACCCTAAGACCTTATAATCTTATCCCCACCTGTCCAATGCGCTGCAGAATTAAAGGTGTTATACATATCACTAAAATAACTAACCTACAAACACCAGGGTATCACAGCATCTCCTGTGATTTCATTCACCTTAGCTTTCAAGGAAAATTCAATTTTTCAAACTTTAGCTACTTTTGCAGCTGCTCATAGCTAAATCGCTTATCCTACACCAATTCCATGAATAAATCTAGTTATCAGCAATGCTGGTTAGAGCTCTCATGTCAGAGGCTAGGCTACAGGAAACCTTCCAGCTCCATTTTTGTCACTAATGATGAAAGCTCTTATTTTTTCACCTTAGGAATTTTCTTCCTTATATTTCTTTAGAAACGTGAATGAGAATTTTGTCAGTATGTTTATGAAGTAAATACAAGTCAGCACGGTTTTCCGAAGCCCTAAAATAGAAAGTTGGGATGAATAGCGATGGAAAAACTAACAGTCAAAGAGTTAAGTAGTTATGCATTTCTGGTAAGCTTTGAAAGAGGAAATGTAACATTTTTTAAGCAAAGCAAAGCATATGCTTTAAAGCATATGAGTAAGGTCTCAGATATTCACATCTACTTGAAACTTGGTTGCCTGAGGAAATACTGAACCTTTTACCACTCATATCTATAAATGATTCAATACTGATTTATAAGCTGATGAAAAATCAAAATCCCATTTTACATCAGATCAATTTTACAAAGCACAGATCTTTTTTCTTCTGATTTTAAACAAATTAACAAAAGACATTATATGGAAAAAAGTGACAATACTGTCATGTTAAAAGAATAGACTCTTTCTGCAACACCCTGGAAGTGAAGAGAGTGGGTCTTTTTTATAAACTTAAAAAATTGAAACATCACTTTATGCTAAAAAAGCAATTTAGAATTAGCCCATGTGTTACAAGATTCAGGCACTTCATTAGAAATTAAATGGCTCCAGGTTTTCACATTCAGAAATAATTTTAAATCATTCAGTGCTTCCTATTTTGCGCTGTCTAATCTCCCAAATGATACCTCCTAGTATTGTGCTCTTGAGTCCAATCACAAATATATTTGCCATTCATTGTAAGGCCAGAATAGCTGAAAAAACACACATAACCTGTTAAGTTTGCTCTCAAAGTTATTTATTTTTTAACCCTTCCAAATCTTTCTAAAATTATCATGTTATTACTAAAATACCCATTTGATGTTAATTCGCACACTCAAATCCTGGCCACATGCCTGGCCTAACATAAGCTTAAACAAACCCCCTCATTAAAAAACCCCCACTTTATGCTACATATTAAAGTTAACTAATTATCTATTACTGATATAAACCACAATAAATAGTTCAACATCATTTCAGATGCACATGAAAAAATGGGTTGAGACTATGACAAAACACAGTTGGAAATACACACATTTTGTCAACAAAATACACCACTATACTGTGAATGCTTCTAAACCTCCTGCAGACACATATTTATTGCTTTAATAAGCCAAGCCACAGGCATTTTTGCAAAGGTGGTGTTTCAAGCTTGTCGTAGAGAACCAGATGGAACATATTACGTGGCTTCACAAAGACAGAAGATCAGAACCAGTTAAAACTCCTTTATATTATTTTGTCATGACAACAGAAGGAGAAAAAAAAGCACTAAGAACTTATGTTTGTCACTCCCCAGCAAATCTGTCAGCTTCTTGTACAGATTTCTCAGGAAGTACTAACCTGTTGGTAGGTCCACAAGCTGGAGCTCATTCCTCACTAGTCCCAGATTGTTAGGTGTTGATGTGGCAAAGGAAATAAACCCAGTCAAGCTTATCCACTCAATTCCCCTGTCATCAAAAGAGTACATGGAGCATATGAGCCAAAATATTCAAATGGCTAAGAAAATAGCCTGGACTGAAGTACAATAGGTTTTTTCATGCATATTCCTCAACTTGAACAGAACAGCACAGAAGTAATTTTTTACAGTTTATGGAAACACTATATTTAAGCATAAAAAGAAACTATGCATTTACAACTATGATATAAAGTTAGCAAATTAAAGATCTTTCTTTTCAGACTACACTTGTTCGGCTGGAAGAAAAATTTCAGTGAGAAACACTGGTAACTTTTGCAAAAATCCTTTACAGATACTCAGCACTAGAGTAGACTAAAAGATCTGCTCTGATTAAACCAGTGGTTTACCAAATGAGAACTATCAAATAACTTAAATTTGCCAGCATACAGAGAGAAAAACATTCATATGGATAACAGTGTGGGTAGACTTGATTCTTTCCATACAAAGAGAGGAGAAACAACTGAAGACCAAAAAAGAGAAGCACTGAACAGATTTGAAAGGCTCTCAGAAGAGAACTGAAAACATGGTAGATTTTTTTGTTGGTTTAGATGACGCCAAGGCAGCCACAAACCAAATTACCTTGAAGCTTGGCAAGGATGTTAAGTTACACTGCATACAACATACTGTCAGCACATATGGATTCTAATCAAATTCTTAAAATACACTACAGGCCACAAAAGAATGGGAAGCGGCACTAGGTGGTATGGTTCCAAAAGCAGATAGTCCTCCTTCCCCATTGCCCGCACACGCTTTGTGCCAGAATAGATGGCTGAGTGCTTTATCTGTGAAATACATCAAGGAACTGATCTAAAAGAAAATTGAGATTGTTCTAATACATACACATGCTCCAAAAAAAAGTTCATTTTAACACAGATAAATGGATTTAGGTTTTTCTCCAATCCTGCAAACATAGATTATTTAACTAATTCCAGGACAAGCCTTCTGTTACATCAATTGAAAGAATCATGGTCTCTTTTGCAAGAACATATGCAAAATATGAGAAAGATAAATAACAGTATGTACAATTTACTGTCAGTAAATCCAACTCATGCTGTATTAAGTAGAAGTTTCCTAAATGTGATTTAGATGGGTGAAAGCAAAAAGCACTCCCATAGTATTTTGCACGTATAAGTTACAGCCATATTTATCTTTTTTTTTAGTTCAAGCATTAAGAAAATGGGAAGTTTTATTTCCGTTATTCCCCTAAGTCCTCAAGTAAGGTTAAAAATTTAGGACTCAGTCCTTTTTCCCACCAGGACCTATGAAAGTTCAATAAATAATTTCAATCAAAATGAGAAGTATTCAATTATTCATTGAAACATTATAGGAATGATTCAACAGAAATCTACAATTGCAGTAACGTGTGACACTGCAAGCCTCCAAAGGGTCTTAAACACAGGGAGTTTTCTGGAATGGGAGAAACATGAATTTTAACACCTTTCTAATTTTTATCTATTATTCTACCATGTTTTCTTGGAAAAAGCACGCAATACTCCTAATGCATTGTTATTGCCAGTAGTAGTCACCATTCTCATTCCAAGACTTGAGGCATTTCCTATACTTCTTTCATCAGCTCAGATTTAACAGGACAAGTCCTTTTTCTTTGCTGCTGCCAGGCCATCTGTCAATACCAATAAAAGTCTACAGCAACCCAAGACACTCACGTCCAAAAGAAAACCTTAGCTTTGCTAACTGCTTGCACTTGAAACAATATGGGGTTCTTTTTATTGTCATACATGTAAATGGAGAATCTGAAGATGGTGGTTCAAGTTTTAATGAAGGAATGTCTTCCCTATTGAAATATCTCCATTTGCAAAGTTTCCTCATAAAAGACATCTTTGTCTACTAGAATTAAGAGTTACATCCAGCTGTAAATTATTCCTCAGACTGGATCCACTCTTTTAAAACAGGAAATTATCATAGAATCCTAGAACGGTTTGCGTTGGAAGGGACCTTCAAGATCTTCTAGTTCTTGGGACACCTTCCACTAGACCAGGTTGCTCAAATTCAGGGATTCTATACATTCAATTTGTCTCAGTTACTTCAAGGGTAAGATTCAGTTTTGATTAATGATTCCAATGCAAACAAATTGTGCTGAGTGTACTGAAGCGGATAAAAACACAAATTACTTTTTTAGTTGGGAATGGATTGTTGTGACTCTATGACAATGCAGCTGCTAATCAAGCTAGATTTCTAAGAAAAAGGGAAAAGTAAAAGGGGAAATAAAACCTTACCTTAAACTGTATTAAAATCTCAATCATATTATCAGAATATATGCTCAGCCTCAAATTTTATCATTTTTAAAAAGAATTTTCTTTCTACTTCAAGTATTTGCGTGTTCTACATGTCCAAAAGTGAACATCAGCAATGGAACAAGTTTTTCCTTTTTAAGAGGATGGTTAAGAAACAAATTACAATTAAATGCTGAAGGTGGTACATCCAAGATAATTGTCCAGCCTGTAATGGTGACTTCAGAATTCAATTCTGAATACACAGGATTTCATTGCAATGCTGCTTATACTTGTCAGTTAACATGTATTTACTAATGCACAGGAATAAATCCAGCACAGCAACACTGTATGACAGAAGGTGTAAATAGTTTTCATTCATCCTTCTTTATGTGAGGAAAGCTTCCTAAAGAGGTGATGAATGTTTGCAAAGCAGTCTTCCAAAGGGGAGTCAGCTTCAATCCAACTGCTAAACCAGCTGAAATTTAAAGTGCTAAAATTTGGGTGTAACGCAGTGATTTTCAAGTTTTGCCTGCAGGCCACAAACATTCTTCTTGCAATCAGTGAGATTTTAATTTTAAAAATTAAAGCTGTTGCAACCTTGAACTTGCTGAGTTTCAGTGAAAAAGAATGAGAAGCACTGCCCCAGTCACATTTATCTATCTATCAGGATAAGAAAAACAGTGAGGCAATGAAGTTACTAGTTCACTTTCACTGGACTAAAAGTTACATTGAAGGTACTCTATTTACATGTCTTGAATATATTCTCCTCTGCACTGAGTATGTACTATCATGTACCTTACCACAATAACTATGATTGCTCCACTTAGGCATCAGAATCAGTTATTTCATTTTCTTCCAGTTCTTCTTAGTAGTAACAATTATTTGAATTTCTCTCTATCCTAAGGGAAGACAGACTGACCTCCTGCTCACAGCTTCTTTCAACCACGACACATTCTATAAGCCCCTAGTTTTTTCCCTTCACTTATGCTCCTAGCAGTCGCCTGATTGACTTTTCCTCTTTGTATGCTCTGAAGCATTTTTGCTGCTCCTGGCCTCGGTCTCCTTATAAAAACTAAACTATACTCAAAAGCATTTACACATATAGTTTCAATAGTGAAATAGCTAAGAAATAATCATGGATAAAAGTAATGTTCAAGGTTACTCATGATTATGATCCACCTTAAATGGAGGACAGAAAGACATCTCTTCCTTCTCCTAATTACAACATAGAATTACAAAGTTAAAAAAATAGATATAATCCCACATGTGATTTCATAAGTAGCTTCTATGAAAGAGCACTTTAATCACCAAAAAATGTCACAATTGCTAGCACCTAGACAACTCAACAGCCATTATTTTAGCACACTTGATATGTAAAGTACAGTTGCTATTCCAAAGACCTTAGTTTTATTACATTCTCAAACTATAGAGCACTGAAAATTCTGCTGGCCTTGAGTTACATTTTCAGAGTATTCCCAACTACATACTAAAATAATGGTGTTTCCTGGAAGTGTATTTTCAGACAAAATTGAAATAGAAGCATTATCCAGTCTCTGCATTTCAGAGGTAAAGCAAGAATTCTCACTAAAAGAAAAACTGTTGCACTCCATGAATATTAATTTTAAAAACCCCAAAATCCCTCTGCCTTATTCTGCATTGCTTAAAGCATGCCCTTAAACTTGTAAAAATTACGTAGAAAGCCACTCAGACCATTTAGAGTGGGACTGAGGAAATTAAAACCAATAATTAAAAGACTCAGGTAAGAGCTTATGGCTAAATAGATTTCACAATCATTTTAACTTTATTCTACAAATACCACTTCAGCGAGGACAGTTGCTAGAAGACAAAGGATTCTTGAAGTTTTTCAAGCATTGCAAATCCTTTACAGAGTGAAAAGCCCAAACTGATAATCCTTCCGATAATACACGAAGCCTAAATAAACCTAAAGAAGTATTTCTTCAAAAGCATATTTCCTCCTGTCTCCCCATCTTAAATTACTTTTATTTTAATCTATGAAATGTTAGTAGTGGTTTTTATTTTGCATTCTATAATCATCCTAATAAGAAAAAAGGTGTGTGCTCTTGTTCTGCATAATAGAAAATAAAATGAAAAGAATTCTTTAAGTAGTTAATGGTATGAAACCAGAAAACTCTCATGGTTTAGGACAGAAAGGGGAATTCTACTCTTACAGTGCCAACTAATCACACCACAAAGATAAATATACTTACATCATTTTTGTGCTAGCTTCAAAGCAGGTTTCCATAATGAACTCTTAGTGTTATCTATTCTCAGTTGCCTGTACTTATCTTAACTTTTCATACAACGAACAGCAAAAGGAAGACTTTAATCTGATGAAGGCTTCATGCCACAACTCTGATACAAATTTTTACTAATATTACTACTAAAAATAAGTATCTTCTTTTCAATGCTTAAATTGTCCAGAAATATGTATCTAGAAGGCACCATCTTGAATATCTTTGCAATTAGTCACCCAAAAACTTATGCTATCGTGTACATACAAACTGCAGTACAGGAGCTTTAAAACTTACTCTGTACATCCTTAGGTTGGATGAATACTGAGTCCTGTATTCAGTCTTTAAAATCTTTTAATGCTAAATATTCTTTTTACTGCAGTTAGGACTAAAACTGCCTCAACAGCCGTTTCAGCCCCAAGGAGGCAAGGTAAACCAACCTTGGTGTACAAACCAGAATTATTTCAAAGGACACGAGTTATATAAATAAGACACTTTATTAAAGTTTCTTGTCCTGAAAAGGCTTCTTTGTACTACAGGGCACCAAAGAAACTGGAATTTGTTGATATGCATCCTAGATCACCAGGCACACATACAATTCAAGTATTTAGTTCAAGGCAATATTCACGCTGACTAACTCCCTATACATAGCAAAGATACTGTTAGGGTAGACTGCTCAACAGGCAATTTTCTTGAGCCTCATTAACAATGAAGAAAGACACTCACCCACATTGCTGGTACAACATTAGTTACATGTTTTACTATTTGTCTCCCAGGAGGATTATAGTAGGAATTAAAATTAAAGCCTTACTTGACTTCACAGGAGTGGATGCTTAATTCTTTGTGTAAGAGTCCACTTGTAAGATGAAACACCAGGACAGAGCCATTACTTGTACCTATAAAAAAATATATACACACCCATTTTATTCCTCTCTTCCATACTTCAGTGAAAATGCAGGACTTACTTATAGCTATTTCTCTCTTTTTTCTCTTTAATACCTGTAACTATAATATTTTACAATTTTAGAAAAGGTGTTTTAATGTCTAGTGCTTAAGTCCCAAATATTAAACCCTGTAAGGTTCTCTGGAGCCAGTGATACCCATTTGGATCAAGACATTCTCCTGAACCTATTTGTAGAGCCTGTACAAAATCTTTTCATTCTTCTTGCATTTTCACAACATACCCAGCTGCAGGAAAAAGAATGTTTCTTCTTGTTTTGATTACTCAATGTGAGTAAATGCCTCAAGGAAGAGTATTAACTGTTATTCACCAATAATCCCAGTGGAGAATCATGGATGGGTGTTACCAAATCATTAAAGCAATTCTGCTTTCTCATCCCTGAAATAATGACCTCTTTCAAATTACAAATCAATAACTCAGTAGCTATTAGCTTCATTAGATCAAAAACCTTCTGAAATGCTGAAAGTTACAATTATCAGACACTAGGAAGACTTATTCTCATTTTTCTTTATACTCAGATTAACTTTATTAATACAATAATGAATACCTAAAGAGTCATTAAGGTACTTTAAGTCCAGAATGCTGCAGATATTGCTGTAAATGCATTTTATACCTACCCATTAGTTTCCTAATCTTTATATCTCATATTTTTTTTAACAGCTATAGCTTATATAAAATCGAAAGTTACATTTTAGTAACATCATGTAATGACAGCTTCCCTACATTTTAAAGCACAACTACTGATGGTAGTTTTAGCTCCATAATGATAAAACTATTACAAGAACTGCATGCATAAATACATGAATTATTTTGCTGTTTTCATTACTAGAGTGAGATTCTCTTTGTAAAAGCTCCTGCATAACATTCACCTATGCAATATCCCCTTCACCCCACCCAAAAACCTATGAAGACTCTATAGCACATGCAACCTTAAGAATAACAAGAATCTCCCAAGTATGACTTGTAACAGGCAGAGTCTTGACTTGGGCAGCCCTAAAGATATCTTAGATCTCAGAGTTGTCCCTATTTAAATCGGGTTCTTACAGGCAACTATTCTAATATCTAGGTAAGTTTAACCAAATTTGTAATAAGACCGAATAGATTCATTCAGGAAAAATAAGGTGCTTTAAGTGTATTTTTAGGTACGTACAACAAAAATACAGTCTCTGTTAAGTTCATTTATTCTAGGAATGCAGAGCTACAGTAGTCTATATTTATAGATATTTAGATTAAAGTGAGAGCAGCATGTAAAAAGCCAAGTGTATCAACAGACCAATATCACAGCAAACGAAAGGATAAATACAAACTTGCAAATATATTGCACTTTTTCAGGTAGCATTACTTAAACACAAGGCAGAAAATAAAGAATCTGAAAACTATCATGAATGCAACTAATACAAGGATCATTCTTTGTGATTAGTTATACAGGATCAAAACATAGATATTTATTTTTGCTGTATTAGAAATTATATTTGTATTTAATAGAGAATATCTTATTTTCAGAGCAACAAATAACCTATTCAAGGCACTTACCAACAGCAAGGATTGGTTCATACTGCTTGATGTTTTTTGTTGTAAGAGGTGGGCACATTCGAATAGCAAAGGGAGGCAGAGGCAGCCCTGACAGAAGTCCAGTCAGCAGAAATTTGAGGTGCACTTCCTGCAGGAAAGGACTCTTTAACTGTTCTTCTCCAGCAATTGTGCTTTGCCCTGCTTAAAAATTAAAGCTCTTGTTAGTATTAATTTTTCATGGGAGATGGTATGGAAAGTTATCAGATACAGGAGTTTATAAAATAAAACTTACAAATAACCTAAGGTATAAAATAGCAGTGTTTGTTTAAAGATGCATTCCTTACTGGTGAACTCTGTAAGATGAAGCTTTTTGGAAGATTGCACTTCTGATTTCTCCAATACTAACTTTCTTTCCTAACGCGAAGAAGGAAAAAAAGGGAAAAAAAGGAAAAGGAAATAAAAAACTAAGTGTAACCATTTCAGTCATCTTCTGGAATTCAAGGGTAGCTTTTTTGTTTCTCCTTTTGTATTTTTATTAAAGTTAGTAACAGATATTTTAAAGTCAGTAGACCGGTTCAAAGACTTACAGAGGTGTAACTCCAAAGAGTAAAAACTGGGTGCAAGCTACTACTAGAAATATAGGGAATTTGCTCATATAAAACAATAAAGATGGGCATGAAAAAGATATAATTCTACTGCTATATACCTTCTGCAGTCAGCTGTACCAGTCTGAGTGATATAAGACCAAAATAACAATAGCTGCTATGTCAATGAGTACAGGAAATGCAGATGAGAAAAAAATGTCATCTTTAAACATATGAGATAAAGTGCAGAAGAACCTCCCCCAGTGGTAAGCTGCCTGCACCAGCTAATATGGACAATTTCTATCACAAGCAATTCCAGATCTGCACTTTTTTATCTCTAAGCACTAGTCGCTTTTCCAATAAAAAACTAGTTTTAAAACATAAAGGTATCATGGTTTTGGCTGAGTTAATTTTCTTTCTAGTAGCCAGTGCAGTGCTGCGTTTTGGCTTTAGTGTAAGAATAATGCTGATAACATACCACTGACAACACCCTGTAGAAACACAAACCATCTTTATGGACTATTTCTCAATATGGAAGTGCTGGTTGCTATCTACATTTCACAAAGATGGGATGCATCAGATAAATTGCCTTCATCCGTTTAAGATTACTTTCAAAAAAATGAAGGAGTTTTGGCCAAATTCCAATTTAAATTACACTGTTTCCCTCAGAGAAAATGTACTTTAAACGTTGTTTTCAACAAAATCTTCAAAAAGCTTCATTTGATAATTTCTTTAGTGAACAGGAATTACTTTCTTTCAGAATTACTATTTAGATTCCACACAAAATAATTCTAACATACATCATTCTTAAGTAAGCTAAGATGTACAACGAATCAAAAATCCTAGGAATTAGTAGCAGTAATATTAGTGAAATTCTTACCAATCATGCTGTCTAATGAGAGGTCTGGAAGTTTATTTTGGGATGCTCCTACAGGAATTCCACAGAACGAGACTGGGGAATACAAAGGTGATGCACTTGAACTGCTATAAAAGAAATGAGAACAAGTTCCTAATCGTCTGTTGACTTAGTTCCTCAATTTTGTTTCAATCTCAGGCTGTTCTTTCAGTATTCCCACCACCAACTTCCATGAACAACTCTACCAGGACATAATGCACATAAAAATGTATAAAACTGAAAACAACTTTCATCTTCCTTACAGAGATATTTTTAAGGAACAGAAAAACAGACAGATGTATCCCTTTTGAAGCAAGCATTGAATGGAGGCTTTAAAATACATTGTGTCTTGATATGTGGAGATATGTTAATGAATACAGCTAAGCACCAACCATATATTTTGACATTCAAGAACAAATTCCCAAACTTGGAGAATGTTTTTTGTTAACCTATATAAACTTCTTACACAGGTTCCAGATGACAAAATCTATAACTGAAGCAAAGCCTTCCACCTAAACATACGAAACACAATTGCTTCTGCATATACAAAGCTACAGCAGGAACTTAAGTAGTACCTACGTTTACAGTCTTGTGAGATATCTATGCATCAGGTTTTTGTGTTATTTTTTTGCCCAATGACTATGACTGGGTTCCAGTGCAATCTCTATCTAGAAGGGGCTCAAAGTGCTGCCCCTGCAGCCCTGGCAACTATATCCTGCTGAGCTGATGGCAGGTCTATGTCATATGCAAAGACCAGACTACTGATTGCATCTACCTGTACATAAAAATGCAGTTTAAGGCACATACAAAGCCTTTAAAAATCTCAGTTTAACAGACTCTGAGTGCAAATTTTAATTGAGACCATCAAATCCAGCATGATAAAGAGCTAATGGAGGAAGACTTCTTCAAAATCCATTAAAGACTCTGTGCCAACCAGAAACATGACTTACTTTTCAGTACAATCCAACCATATCCAGAATCCTCTAAGGCTCAGTGGTTCTTCTATTATTATCATTATTATTATTACATTTTTCCTGGTTATATAATCATGACAAAGATCAATGTTTTAGAAATGAGTCTATGAATACAAGAAGTAAAACCCAGCAACATATGGATCCTGAACAGCTCTCTTGGATATGCACCACAAAGAATCCATCTGACAGCATTTTTGAGAACACCGAGAATAAAAACATTAAATCACGAGCAACAAAAGAATCTATGTTGAAAATCTGGTACTACTGACATTTAAAAGTGTCCTAAGAATTCTGTATGTCTTTTATGGTAATAAGTTGTTTTATTCAACAAACTTTAAAGGTTTCTTGCAGCAGAAGGACCTTAACACATTGAAAGTTCAAAAGAACCATACTACTTCATAAAGCACTTTTTGAGATTGCTCAAAATCTAAAATTCTAAAGGCTTTGTATATAAAAACATTGTTTACACCATCATATTCCAGCCACCTGCTGTATGGTCTCGTATTGTTCTGTGTCAAATTCACACCAATCTAGCACAACACCTTTCCCCTACTAAAAACAGTCCTTCCCACACTTGTTTTGAGGTCCTTTCATGTGACGAAAATGAGGGATCCATTCCTGAGGAAAATTACATAGTCTGAAGAAGCCAAATGTTTCCCCAAAATAATGTGAATACTCATTCTATCTTTCATTTCCCTTACCCCAACCACTTAGTATGGAATTATTTTTTAAAGAAAGAAGAGTAAATACAGTTCCTTCACTGCCCCAAAGGAAGGGATCTAATCTATTTGGATGATGTATTTTGTTTCTCCTCCTTTCATTCATGTGCATGTTACACTAACACACACACAAGAATATCACTTGCTTTTCGAATATAAGTAATACTACACACCACTTGTAAATGTAACAGATGGAAGCTTTGATAAGAAAAATAAATCCCGTTACCTGTTACGCATATTTCTGCCAGCAATACTGGACTTTAATTCCCAGATCATTACCCTGCCATCACTGACTATGAGAGCTGCAGAATTCTCATTCACTGGGCAACACACCATACTGAAGGGTCGAACTGTTTTTGTTACCCTGATTGCATCACACTGACTTCTTAAATCATAAATCAGCTCCTGAACTGGGTCTGGATCTGTAACATCAATGTCCCACAGAGGACAAACAATTAGAGTGGAAAACACAGGATATGATCAATCAACAGAGGTAATTGTGCAGCATGACTGTGCTCTTTGGTTGAAATCCACATGCAACTGTGCAACAGTTGGGAAAAAAACATCAAAAACTACATACTGTTGATCTTGCTGTACGCAACACAGTCCTGAGAAGGTCTCCAAAATGTAAAATTGTATTTAAAATATCTTATTCCACACAAATCTTGCAAAAACGTAAAAAAATAAAAAAAATGTCTGTTTCATATTTGGGCAGAAAGCGCATCTGCTCTCCACAATCCAAAGTTCATTTAAAAGGTCATTCTTAGTAAGATTTCGTAAGAGACAAAGGTTTAATAATTTAGATTTTAATCTAAATTTAAGCTCACGTATTAGTTCTAAAATCAATTCTTCAAATTGAGAAAATGACTTCTAAAGCCTTATGTCTGCCTGAAAACTGTTTTTTCTTAAAGAGAAAGTGAACATACTCATCTTTTATCTAAAACATTCTTGTATATGTGACTGTTAAGCCACTTCATAATTAAAGTATTTATTTTCAGGATATTAACATAGTACATTGTGCACTAAATATCAGAGAAGTCAAGAACAACACTAGAAGGGCTGTAATTCACCATTCTGTATGAGGCAAGATAGCAAACATTGGTGTTAAAGTATTAATTAAAATGCCTCAACATTTTTGATACAAAACTTACCTGGCTCTTCATTTGGAGTTCCAGTTATACTGCAATTAGATCTGCGAACTCTTAAAGTTATACAACCATTTTCATGTAGGCAAAATAACCCATCACGCTGAAAACAAGGAATTACCTAGGTAAAGAGACAGTACATTGTATCATGTTATCTAAGTTTCGTTCTTTGCAAAGTACACTTGCAAATGAACATATAATTCCTGATGTATAAGCCAGTCACTAAAAATGTTACCATTAACTCAACACTTCAAGGAATTTCTTTAGCTACAGTAGTTGTGACTAAGAAAGTCAATTAATTTGAGAAATTTATTGAAAGTTTTTGTTTCAATTGCTTGTTGGTTTGGGTTTTTGTTTTCTTAAAACATTGATGTACTCATTTATATTCTTTTTAGTATCACTTTTTAACACTTTTTAGTATCAGAATTCATGGTTCCAAGAGAATAAAGAAAGATGCTTCAATAAGACCTTGGACTAGACTTAACTGTCTAATTAGGCAAAGGCAGATGATCAGAGAACTAGTATTTGTGTGTGTAAGAAGCTTAACCACCAGAGAATGAAATGTCCTTTTTCCACAGCACTATTTCCACACTGGTAACTTTTAACACCACAAAATGAAGTAGGTTTGCTGCAGACATCTGAAAACTAAACAGTTCCAAAAACATTTTTTCCCCTGATCAGCTAACTTCTAGAACTAAATAAATCACAAACTTACATATGATCTTAATAAAGTTTTACAATGATAGAAATCAACCAAATGTTCATTACCTGTAAGAAAGGCACGCCTGTTCTTTCAATTGCAATCACACCCACTGTCTGATTCACTTCCAAGTCAAGAATCAAAATTTCTCTGGGATACAATAACAGCATGTAGTTTCTTTTGGAAGGCAGATATGACAACTGAAGACAGTCATTGAGTGTTACAGATTCAGCACTGTAAATATCAGATATAAACTTTAATCAAGTCATGCCAACAAATACTTCAAGTTCAAAATAAAATTAACAGTATACATTTTCTTACAGCTGCATTTTTTGAGTATTCCCTATTTTGATCCATAGGAAACTGCATATTTGTGTGTAATTGCTACAGCAGTGCAAAGCATCACTGACCTTCAAAAGACATACACTGTTGATTTTTGTCTAAGTAAGATTATAGAGTAATTTTTAAATTAGCACGTGATTCAAATGGAATGATCTCAAATTCTTGCACATCTCATACAGAAAGCAATTCAATTATGAACAGTGCCAGCTGCCGTGACATTTACTGATATTCAAGGGAAATTACCCTTAAACATACTGCAAATACTGCAAATACAATCTTTTGTATTATTATGCATATTAGAATCATAGAATACCAGGTTGGAAGGGGCCTCAAGGATCATCTGGTCCACCTTCCTAGGCAAAGCATGACCTAGACTAAATGTCTCAGACAAGTCTTAACAGTGTCCAACACTGGGGAGTCCACCACTTCCCTGGGGAGATTACTCCAATGGCTGGTTGTTCTCATTGTGAAAAATTCTCCTCTTGTGGCCAGTCGGTATCTCCCCAGGAGTAACTTGTCCCCTTTATGCCTCTTTTCCATGTGACTGCTTGTAAAAAGAGTCTCCATCTTTATAGCCACCCTTTAAATACTGGAACGGTATTTACTGTATATGTACAGTATTTATAAAGTATTATTTCATTTTGAAATGAACTGAAGGAGCTTATTAAAAAGATCAGTCTTCAAAACTCAGAGTAGGTAAGCAAAAGAGCAGGAAAGTTCATTTTGTTGAATGTTGAATGTTGCCAGAATGTTGAATGCAGCCAGAAGACTGGCTGCACAGTTCATTAGGTACAAGCAACCAGTGAACTGTACTTAAGCCACACTGAAGAAAATCATCCTCATACTGTGCTCAGTTTTGAAAGCTTCTGAACTCACTTAATGTACCATCCCTTTTGAGGGGTTGTGCCTGGTTTTCATCTCCTTATTCTACCACAGACTAAGCCTGCCTCACATGCTTCTTGCATCTCAATCCTTGCTTCAAGCACCCGAATCCCCATTTGTCTGCAATCATAGAATCATAGAATAGTTAGGGTTGGAAAGGACCTTAAGATCATCTAGTTCCAACCCCCCTGCCATGAGCAGGGACACCACACACTAAACTATGTTGCCCAAGGCTCTGTCCAGCCTGGCCTTGAACACCTCCAGGGTTGGAGCATTCACAACTTCCTTGGGCAACCCATTCCAGTGCCTCACCACCCTCACTGAAGAACTTCTTCCTTAGATCTAACCTAAAGTTCCCCTGTTTAAGTTTAAAGCCATCACTTTCCTGACGATCTCCTGCTCCTTCCTCAAAGTTTCTCTACACTAACGTAAATCACTGTTGCTATAATTTTTCATCCTTTTTTCCTATTCTAGTCTTTCCAGCGGTTCTGGATGGAAAAGAAGGGAAAAGAGAAGACTATCATACCTTTAGCAATATTTGTATACAACTTAAACTGCAATCAGGATTACGCAGAAACAGTATCTCCGTTGATTTAGTTATTACAAAGCATACATAGGGCTGCAGCAGCATATGGACTGTCTCAGTATTTGCAAATCAGGTGTTCTGCCCAATGCAGCACAAATCAGGCATTATGGAACATCATATGACAAGACATGCCTATTAACTCTATATAAAAACTACAGTTTCTTAAATAATTACCACAAGAGGTTATCATCATCTCCTCCCAAATTTGCAATTTAAACACTTCATTAAAACAGAGGGTAAATTTTGTTGTCAGGTGCTAACTGATAATACAGTCTGGTTAATTTGTTCTCACGTTTGCTTGAGGTTTGAAAAATACTTTTATTACTCAAATATAAAATATAAAAGGGAAAAAAGTTACAGCACACAGGAATGGCCTAGAGATGTTCTAACAAAAAACATAAACCAATCAGAAACACCTCAAAATGGTTTTAAAAGAAATACACAAATAGGTATGTATAAATTCTATTTTTATTCATACACTATTGCCTCCTACTGCAGTACCATGTGCAATATCAGAATGACAACTTTTTCCAGGTATCAGTACTTAAATAATTTTTCTTCTCTTACTATAACCTTTCTTATTCCACAATTTAAATTAATTAAGCCCATTTTCATCTTTTTTCCCCCCCCAGAAAGATCTGTCTGAATATAAACTGCATGAAAATCTGTTAGCAAAGGGAAAACATTATCATTAACTTAATTTACATAAAACATGCTGGGATGATATCCGTTTTTATGAACAGAACTGGATGAATGACTGTCAATGTTGTACTCTCAAATAATGCCCTCACCTAGGATATCCATCTATCAGCCTAACCCAATGAATTTTCTTTCTTAACATTAATTACCTCATAGGCTTTAACTTAGTAACACCTATAAAATACATAGGTGTACAATATATTATCTGAGAAGAAATATTTGCAACCTACCTTGGTTTTTCATTACTGATTAAGATTTTTACTTTATCAAGGGCCTTTTTGGCCCCGGTAGCAGCAGCCAGCTTGTTGTGAGAAGGACTGGAATGGGGACTAGAGATGTAAACTTTCTTCCCTGAGCTGGCAGGAGCTTTGGAAGGTGAGAAGTCAGAGATGAAGACTATTCCTTCACTGGTGAGCACTGTACCAAGAAAAACAATTTTCAATATAGCAAAATACAACCTCCAATTTGATTGTGGATTGTGGGTTTCCATTTTAATGAAATTTTGGTAGGCAGAAATTCTAATAGCTTTAGTAATACTCTATTAGGTAGAGAACTCAGAATTCTAGACAACTGGCTCTTTCTACTGAAAAGAGCAGCAAATGGTTCATTACAATTAATATCCACAAATCTCAACTTTTCAGTATTAAGTTTATAGTAAAAATACTGTGGGTCTTACTAGCAGAAATCTCTTGGTCGTTCAGAACAATTATTCTCTCTTATCAACTATTTTTCTTCAAGCTTCACAATGCAAACAGAAGGGCAAGGCTGTCCACGTTAGCTCTGTCATCATTCTCTGTTCTCAAGCAAAGCGTGGCTCAAAGAATCATTAACTCAGATTATTTATGCTGCAGCATAAAGATTCAGCTAAGCTGTAAAGATGTAGCTAAGATTTTACTACATGTTTATGGAAGGTTGAGTGGTATGGCAGATAAAAAAAAAAATACAACTACAAAGCCTGGAAACTGCACTGTTTCATTACAGATCAGGAGTGTGGAAGCTAAATTAAAGAATAAAATAGTGACTCTCTTATTTATCTTAGTTTCTTTCTGCTAAAATGTGAACAAATCTGCACCACATCCCTCTTGACATCTTAACTGCTTCCGAAACTGATGCTCACACTGTATTCCTTAGAAAAAAAGAAAGTCCTTTCTGTTGAAGGTAACATTTATTCTTGGTCTACTCAGCTCACTCAGTATCCATCATTTTATAGCTTTTCATGCCAGTTTAATGGAGCTGTCTACATCTGGCTTCCTTCAGTTCCCTATCCACACCCTTTGCACCTTCTTTTCTAAACTCTCAAACATTTCTTTTCAGTCTCTATCTTCTCTACTGATGCCTACTTGTCCCCTCCCTTCACAAAATGGCATCTTGTTTTAGAAGATTCCACACTTGCCAAAAACTCCCATCTTCATTTAGACACTTCTTGGCATTTATGACTTTATCCTCTCCAATCTGTTATCTTTAATCTCAATCTTAACATTGTAGCTTAACATTTTCCTGGTCACACACAGTCAGGTCACATGATTTTATACTTATAAACTTACAAGCCAAGTGTGATGGATCAAAGGGGTCAAATGAAAAAGACAGGATATTTTCAGCATAACTTTTCTTCCAAAGTTTGGTGCCCGTGTCTGCATTCCACAGTACAATATAGTTCGGTGGATGAACTGCAAGCAGTAAATCTCTGGATGCATCCTGATTCCACAACCACTGCATGTCTGCCAAGAGACAGAAGGAACAACAGTGAAATTAATTTTCAAGAAGTTTGTTCTATTTTAAAACTACTCTTCTTCGACAATACCTTGTCTTGAAAGAAATTAATAGTGATTTATTGGTAACAAAATGCTTCTGGTTTGTAAAAAAATAAGTTCCTTTTATGGCCTGAATTTATGTTTTTAACAAGTAGCTATAAACAGGGTTACACATGTACACAACCCACATCCTATCTAAAGAAGTCATCTTTTCAGCCAGTGAATTCCTAATGAAACAACATACCATTCTGTGCAAACATACAGTAGAACCACTGAAGAGTCAAAATGAAAAGAACCATAAACCATCCCAATTAATATTTGGGATGACACCACGAACCGCAACAACATCTAAATTAATATTTGGGATGGCATCAGGATTGGGCCTGGAAACAAATGTCTTCTCTACTTCAGAACTTTTTAAAAGGGGATCTGAAGTTCAAGAGTGAAATGCAACTGACTATAACACACAATCAAGAATATGAGTATAGTGCTTAAATGGTGGGTCAGTAGGAAGAGGTATCGTTGCCAATCATCATGGCTGGGCATCATTTAAACATTCAAGATAAATGGATGTAAAATACTATGTTTTCTGTCAGTAAGAACAGAGATGCTTAACTTACTTTAAAGGAGCTGTATTAGAGCTACCTACATGCTCCACAGGGCAGACTTTTAGAGAATAGATTGGATGAGGCAGGCAATGGATGAGGTCCCCCCGATCCAGCTCCTACCACTCACTTCATGACCTCACCAAGGCACAGCTTCTCCACAACACGTTCATTTATATTAAGATGCCAGAAAAACCTTCCTTCCTCGGTTAGTTTTCTAGCAATTCAGCTTTTTCAAAGCTGTTTTTCAGAGCACTACTAAGTGCTCTTCACTGGGTTTCAGAGGAAAATAAATAAATCCAGCCATGTGTGTCTTAATCAGTTATACTGCAAGTTAACAAAAGGTTAAATCCTTCTCAGCTGAGTGCGGAGTGGGTATCAAATAAAGAAGAGTGCCTTACACTGATGCACCACTCTTCATTGAAACAGTGAGGCTCCAGCTGTTATCCTACTAAGCTCTTGCAGATAATACACAGAGAACCAGCAGATCGCTCTGGTCCTCAGTCTCTATTTGCACTATTTTCTACAGGCTTGTACAAAGCCAGAGGCCTCAGAAACAGATGGAAAGGAAAAGAAGCTGCTTTTGATAGAGGTCACTGCTGAATCAAATCAGGGACTGAGGACAGAACAGAATTTTAATTCTGTTGCTTATTAACTTTTTTTCTCACCCAACAGACTGGAAAGACTTCACTGGGTCTGAACACCTGGAGAAATCTTCAAATGGCAAAGTCAAAACTCCACCAAACATTCAGTGAATTGGTGTCAGTAGTAAGTAAAATGCAACTCCTCATAACACACACTCATAAAATTAACTGCAGTCAACAGAGTCCCACTATCAGACTTACAATACTGTATCTACCTTCACACGATTTATTAGAAGGGAGTAATAACAAAAAACAAACAACCTGATTTCATAAGTGAGCTTTCAGATAAGAGAATTCAAAATAAAAAACAGGTGTAACACAAGCATCATCACAATTTTTTAAAACAGTCCAAATAAAACGTAAATTATCCTTAGGAACTCATTATGGTAGTTTCTCAGGGGGGAGGAAGTGTTCTAAATTTCACTTCAGAAATAATTTGCTAGAACGGACAGCAGTAGCAATAAACAGAAATGCAGAACATGCAGTAGAGCACATAGATGTTGCTGTACTTCCAGAGTTATCCCTCCAAGCTCATTCTGAATGAGCCAGTTCGATACTGGAATTGGTCCACAGGCAGCACCAGCCGAGGTACTGGAAGCAAAACAGTTAGAGTTGTATAGCCACAAAGCTAACCAGGTTCCACGGTTTCAGCCAGCTCCTGGTCAGCTCTGCTAGGAGTAGTTCCAATAGACAGAAAAGTGCCTATCATGAGTAATCAGAATAAAAAACCCAAGTTTTACAATAATGGGAGAGTACTACTATCAACTACAAACTGCACCTGTCTGTTAAAGAGGTAGTAAAATGATACTGACTGCGTGATGCACTAAGGAATGAAGTCTAGATATTTTGATTCCCTTTTCTGAGTTCTAACCAGTACCTTCACTTTTTCATTGATGAACTACAAGATGCTAACTACTGAAAGGGAGCATTTGATGGATGACACCTTATTAAGAGATGAGCACAAAACAAAGCAAGGAACAAAAACAATTATTCCTTTCCAATATATTCTCTTAATCATGTTAGACATGGCCAGTGGCTACATTTTCCGTTCTCTGTCCTTCATCAGATCAATTAAGATAGTCCTGACCTCTGTGCCAGGCTTCTAGACTTTTCTGCCTCTACCACAAGAAAGCATAAATCTGCTAAAGCTTCATCATAAATGCATAGCTCCTTTCTTCATGCTTTTTTGCTGGTTTGGTGGTTTTTTGTGGGATTTTGTTTGGGTGTTGCTTTTTTTTACTTTTCCCATAAGATCATGACTTTTCTGGCCATGGGATAAAGAATATTGAAGCATCCAGATACCCAGAACTGTTCAGGTAGAGTTTACTGGGTATTTTTCAGACCTTTCCAGCTGCAGTGGGCTACCACCCATAGAAATGAATCAAAGCAGCAAATACCACCACAAAACTTTCTCAAATAAAAGCCAAACCCAGTTATTTATACCATCTCAACATTTCCTCTCTCTTGATTGCTTGTGTTAACCTTTACCATTTAAGTCTACACTTGAAACCTAATTCAAATTTGTCATACTCAGTTTGGAGACTGCATATTACCAATTCCAGCTATATGAGAAACCTACCTTATTTACAACTGTCTTCTACTCTCAAATTTACACAGTATCTCATTATTTCTCCATTTCACTTCTCATATCTTAATATTGCTACGCATAGAAGTCTCCCTGCTATGAATCTGACAACTGCACACTCAAAAAAACCCTCTCCCTAATAATATTGAAAATGTATGTAACCATGCTAGTATATTTGACCAGAAGTAGCTATGTAACAGCCTATCTAAATAATTGACGAAGTATATGCGCAAAATCAAAACTCTCAACTTACATCAATGTAATACTGTTAAAATACTACATCACTACAGATGGCATTAACAATCAGATACAATGCAAACTGCACTATATCCCTAACTCAAAAGCAGAAAGATGCACCTGACACTGTAAATATGATTATTTCAATCAATAACATTCATAAAAATAGATTCTAACTTGTTGTCAGATCTTGGAAAATACTACCATAGTGAATTAAATCTCACAGCATCCCTCTGGGAGACTGCAAATCTCACATTTACACATAAAATGGGTAAGCAAGCACACAGAAGGCTAATAATCCCAACAGTAAAATTCAATGGCAGAACTGAGCATAGTTTACAAAACTTAGGTGATGGATTCATACCTGATGCTCCATAAAGTAACTTCTACACAAACATCATGCGCTATCATTACCTTGAATTGGTTTTGCATGTTCCTGTATTTCACAACGAGCTGTTCCTGTTGCCACATCCCATACAATTATTTTTCCAGTAACATCAGCAGAAGCTAAACGTAAAGAATATGGAGAGCCTATATTGTGATGGTAATTTTCTTTAGCCCATTTAACCTGAAGATACAGATGAAAATTGGTCAAAGGAGGCAAACATATAACAAGACACCATACTTCATATTTTTCAGATGAATAAACAAATCATGAACTCAATCAAAAATTGTAGTAATAGTTAACATTAACAGCATCTTTACATTAATAAGAATACCATTAAGCTACCATCAGTTGTGCAAATCTAAGGTATGTTGCAACTGTGCTGCCTGACTGCATGGTTGGTATTTTCAAATTACATAAATCTACTATCCTTGCTCCTGATGATATCTACAACAATCCATAAATATATGCTATGTATATAAAAAGTGTACTTATATATAAGAAATTAAATGGCAATATTTAGGGTTCTGTGGGCATCCACAAACCTACACCCGCTGATTTCCAAACAAATTATAGTTGAGAATTTACCATCTAACTTTCACATACATCCTAAAACCTTTCATTTTCCTAATCCGTCAAATATATTACAGTATTGGCGAAGAAGGAAGATTAGTCTTTCATCTATGTATTGTCCCATGTCAAGCTATTGCTGACATTTGCTATCTTTTTGGTCCTTTTCAGCATGTTGCCACCTCTGATTTCTACATACCACTTCCTGGTTTGGGATTTCAAGCTGCAGGGGCTTGCAAGTTGGCAATACTTACACAAACTGTCTTGAAGTTTGAAACATTCTGACTACAAGCCTCCCAAGATTATACAGAAGTAACACTGACTTCTTCCTTATCTGTTCAATATAGATTTGTTTTGCTACCTGGTATAAGGTGAACTTCCATCCCTGCGAGACTGAAGACACTGACAGAATAAAGAAACATTAATGCTAAGCTAATGGGAATTTATTTACTACAAAAATGACATTGTAGTTAGCTAGCTGTGTGCTGTCACAGTACCTGACAGAGAAAGGGTGAGGGCAAACACAAGGCTTTTTGCAGATATTGAAAGCATGGCATTAAAATAGATGGGAATAGAGGAGTTATTAGGCACCACTAGCTTTGCAACATGAATTAGATTTGTACAAGTATTCAGAGCACTGCGGCCACCTCTGTGCTATCCCTTCTCAGAGATGTGACCAGGATGGATCTCAAATGCCTAGCTGAATAAGGTAAACAAACATTACACATGCACAACAAGCAATCTTCAAAGAGCTCCGGCTATAAACCCGAAGCATGTTTCTATCAGAATAACAAAGAACTCTTGGGAGACTGTCCTCTACCTGCAAATTTCAGTTTTGCAATTCCTGCTTCCCTGCTGTTCAACAAAAATTACCCATGAGGCTACCTGCATGTAGCTACTAAAAAAGTAATTGTAGAACCTACAAAGCTATTTATTCCCGAGTTAAATATATGCTAGTTGGAAGCAATTTCCAAGCCTGGGAAACAGAATTTCCCAAGGGAGGAGCTGTCACCTGAAGTTCTGAATAAAAGAAGATCTTCACACAATCAGTCTCAAACAGAGCTCATGTGGCACACTCACATTGTAAACCCTCTTTTCCTATTCAGTAACACTGCTCCAATAAAGTCCACACACACAACCTGAGCCTCTGCTAAAAGAAATTATTTTCATGCTGTATTGGTCTCTGCCTGTCTACCCTGACTTCAAAATACTGTAGCACTGGACAGAAAAAATAAATCATCTCTGGTTCCTGTTTAATTTTCATACCTAATTTATAAAGACTTATTATCCCTATCAAACATAATTTCAATCCTCTCATTTCTTGTTACAGCTCCAAAAATTCCTCCTGTAATTAAATTAAAAAAAGCACTCTTTCAAGTACTCTTTGTAAAGGTACAAAAAAAATCTGATACAATCCACTCCATAAAAAGTTATCAGCAACACCTTAAGAGCAGAGGCACATCTAATATGGAACAATTTTCAGTGAAACTTTTACCTATTCCAGACACAGTTATGCCAGCCAAAGGCCAGGAAGTATTTAAAGAAATACTTAAATGGACTGCAGAAGGATTGTGAAACAATTGCTTTTTTATCACAAATAGTGGTGTGTTTTGGTATTTTTGCAGAACTGAAGCACAGGGGTTTGGGAAGAGTATGTCCTGTAGCCTGACTTTGTAGGTGTGAATCTCTGCTACAAAGAGTTTAAGTCAGATACACACAGCAGATGTCTTACAGATCCCCTTCAGCTTATTTATGCTCTTAGCATTTACAAATTCTTTAGGAAAAAAATAAAGTTAGGAATTGAAGAAAATTTCTCAGAAATGTAACAGTATCTGCAATGGTCATGGCCTCATAACATTTTCTTATATAATGCCTATTTCTTGAAGTAGAATAGAATTCTTCTTCATTCATTCTCATAAATTAGTCATATCCTTATAGTCTATTTCTGTTAATAAAGTACCAGATTGGGGCTTTGAAAAATTATCTTATAAGTTACATAAAAACTATTTGGACTTTAGCATTTGGTTTCCCACTGAGATGATGTCACTGCACAAAGCTAATGAATGTAACTGAAGCACATTAAAATGCTCTCACTACATGGATCAAAATCTAATTTTGCTACAACTTGTTATCTAAGCTAAGTGAAAATTTCAAAGCAGAATCATCATTAGTGTTACCTCCGTAACACTTACACTGTCTATTTCTTCTACGCAGTTACAGACACTGGAAGGCTAACAGAGGCTAAGGGTATGCTTACCCAAACAAGTTGCCAAAAGGCAAGCAAAGGTATTGATTCAGAGTGATGCTGACTCTGTGGTTGCTCTCGTGTACACACCTTTGCTCTGAGATAACAAGAGAAACAACCTCTCCTTACTGTGAGTCAGACAAGTTGCCTAACATTTGTCACCAGAGACACTATTCCTAAGAGTGGCACAAGCTCTAAGTTGAAAGCAATGTTCAGGCAAACCTGAGAATCCTCAAACTTCCCAGCAAGATTTGGGCACATATACAGACATGCTGGAAAAAATCAGTTTTCGGACATTTTAGCATCATTTTTAACATATCACAGTACACCAGTCTCAAAAACACAAGATAAAATACCTATTTTGAAATCTAACCCTCTAAAAACTTCTGCCTTCCTTTTTGCCAGTCATTTTTAAAATTGTCTCTAATCAAGCAAAACTAATTCCTAAACTTTACAACCATTTTTAAAAGCTACAATCCCATTATCTGTACAGCTCTTGGCCAAAATCATAAATGGATCTGAAGCAGTTTTGCCATGGTCAGTATCTTCTCCCAGGATTTGAACACTGTATTATCCTAAAAGCACAGACTTAGCTGGACTCTGTAGCACAGAAATACATTGTACTACATAGAGGTACATAAACACCGCCACTTGTGTAACTACTGAATATACTGAAGCTGCAAAACAACAAAAAAGCTGAAACTCTTCAGTGCACAGAAGGACATCATCAGAACATGATGTCTGAGAACTCAGTACATTATCAAACCTAAAGACAAAATAATTGTATTTAATTTTAAAATACAAGAGCGGCCTTACCTGATAAACTGTTGGTGTATGTATACGAAGATGGCCCATTTAAAGGAAATTACACATGGGAAAAAATAGTGTGCAATTACCAAAAGGCACATTCAAACTTTTACTACAAAACCCACCAAAATCCTCCTATCTAAAAATCTGTTCTCCTTCATAAATTATTGCCTTTTAACACAGCATTTGGGCCATGGACTATCAAGCTTTACATCTGCCAGTTAAACGTGCCTCTAAACCCTGACTGTCATTCTCCACGCTCAAAGAAGTGATGTTCCAAAGAAACACAACCTGTTCTACACTTGACCCAAAGTCCAACTCTGCAATTCCAAGTCAAGGACCTTCAAAGGAAAATACAAGTACCTCACACTTAAGCTTAAATTTTAGCCATTTTTTATCACTAAAATATGTTTGGTTTTGCCTTCTATTGCTCCTTTTCTACAGGTAAGCACAGAAGTAAAAACTTTAACTTCTTAGTCAAATGGTGCACCCCCATAACTGGAAAGATCTGCAAGGGCATATACAAAGAGATTCATCCAATCTTTTGTAATGTTCCTTTGAAATTCTACCATGTTAAGAGCTTTCTTAGTAACATTTCTCTCTGTGATCTGTAACACTACCAAATGTTTCTATATGTTCTGCACCTTCTATAGATTTTATACCTGCTATAAAGATGTATCATCAACCTCAGCTCAAATTTCAGCATGTATGGTTTGATTCAGCTGTAAAAGAGACCATGTAAAATACAGGTATTTTACACCAAATTTTATGTGAAAATCAAGTGCTATACGATGTCAAGTATTTACACTGATTTAGAAAAATAACAGATACAACAGAATCAAGTAATATACCTTAAAACACATACATCTCACCTTGACAACACTAGCTTTGTGTCTTTCCAAAACCTGTAAAGTCTGAGCGGTATTGGCATCAACTACCAGCACAAGAGAATGACATCCATATGCAATCAAACCTTGCCAGCCCCTAGAAAAGCACATAACATCACCAAATAAGCAAAAAAGAACAAAAATCACTCACAACAAGAATGCAGCTTTTTTTCCTTGTTTTTTAAGTTGAATGCATGCTACTAGACACACACATCAAACAGTAAAGATTCTTTAATAACATAAAACTCAAAAGCATTATAAAACGTCATGGCTGCACTGCCTGCTGATGGACCTCCAATCCACCACAAAGCATCTCTTTATGTCCATCTACAAAAAACCTCTTGTGTGAATTTAAGACATGATGTATAAAGTCAAGAAGCACATTCCCAGGTTTTATAGATAAGCATGCAGGTAAGCAATATATCTGAAATTATACAATTAATTGTGTATTTATTCTTTTTGAAAGACAAAAAGGGAGCATGTGAACAGCAATTACAGTAACGGTGGAAATCTGCTGAGCCCCATCTGACTTCAGGAGAGGTTACTGTGGCCACCAATGGCAATTATAAAGGTGCAGGAAACACCAAGCAAGTGGGAACCATATCAAAGGAGAAAAACAAGTTTCAAAGTAAGCACGTCAGAGCCCTTCAGTGTTCACAAACAACGTTGACAAACCTAAAGGCCACAGTTTTAAGAAAATTATTTGGTTTAGCTCATTCATTTTATAGAATCATAGATTCATTTTCTCTCCTTAAGACTCAGCAGTCTAAGGGTAATGCAGCCCAGCTGGGTGAACTCACTGTTCAGAGCAATGAACGCATAAACCGATACATGTACTGCCTTTCCATCACGTCTCACAAGTAACAGGAACAGAAACCAGAAGCAGCTGCTCCGATCTCTGCAGTTCGTGGCACCACCAAGACCTCTGCCCAGGGAAGCAAGTGTCGTTGGCAGAAGGGACCGGACCATGCTCATCCATGGCCACGGCTTTGCTCTTGCTCCAGAGCAACAGCCCCCGGCGCAGGCTGAGCCTCCGGACCTGAGGCTGCACGGAGATCCCGGCTCAGAGCGCGATCCCCCGCTGCCGGACAGCGGGAGGAGGCAGAA